CTTTCTTTCTTTCTTTCTTTCTTTCTTTCTTTCTTTCTTTCTTTCTTATCTTCCTCTTCATTTCCTTCCTTCTTTCCCTTTTTGGTAAAGATATAATGATTATATTTTTATACTATATCCAAATTTGAACAAATATTCCCCAATCTATGGGATGTCACATTGAGGCTGCTTCAAATCTTAATTAAGATTTGAAGATTTGTCAAAGGAAGACATTATTCTGGTCCCCATTCAGACAAGGATAGAAAGAGAGAGAAAGAGAGAGGAGGAGGGGAGAGAGAGAGAGAGAAAGAAAGAGAGGGAGGAGAAGAGGGGGAGAAAGAGAGAAAGAGGAGGCAAGAGAGAGAGAAGGACAAAAAGAGAAAGAGGAAGGGAAGGAGAGGGGGAAGAGAGAGAGAGAAGGAGAAACAGAGAGAGAAACTAAATAAAAAAGATACGTTCAGTGTCTGGAAGTTGGTGAGAAACCAGATAAGCATAAATAAATATTTAGGCTTATCCTCTTAGTAACTTAAACCCTTTGGTACTGGCGGTTTGGAGTTGGTACATGTGAGACGCGCAATTCCACCAGGCAAATGTGAGAAACGCCCCCTATTTCCCTTCATCCCAGTTTTCCAAAAAAATCTCTTTCAGATGCTCTGAATTTTTTTGCTTCTCTTTAATGCTGGATGTTATCCAAAGTCCAGGTGGCCCTAACAGATGGATAGCCTAAATGAGCAGACACCGCCAGAGTGAAGTGGCTGTTTCATTTATTTTTTATATATACAGTGTGTGTGTGTGTGTGTATAATATGTATATATAATATGTATATGTGTGTGTGTGTGTTTATTTATTTATTTAAAGGTCATTGCCCTCCTGGATTCAGAAAACTGGATTGTGGTCCATGCAACTGTAATTCAGTATGTACGCCAGCTTTGGCCACTTTAAGATAGGTGGGCTTCAACTCCCTGAATTCCCAAGCCAGCCACATATTTCTTTTCCAACCCCAGCAGGATTGGGATTTCTGCTTTTTTTTAAAAACGTGTCATTTGGGTGATTTGTCGCCTAAATGTCAACATTTTGCTTTTGCCTGCACCTCATCTTCCTCTTTTTCTCGCTTTTTTTGCAGCTTCTGTTGCACTTTATCACAACGTACGAAGATCTGCTGATGTTCCTACAACAGAATGTCCATCAGGTATGAGGCTGGGAAGGGAGCAATCAAATTGTACTTCACTTCTTATTGCCGTTTTTTGCTTGCGTGTTTAAAAGCACTACTGCCACGTGGTCTTGGAAAGACACACCAGTTTATCAGGAGTGGAATGTGTGGCTTAGATGCGGCTCTTAACTGCCCTCCAGCTTGCTTTTTCAAATTTTATTTTATGTTTTAAAAAACCCTGCCTTTATTGCAGGTAGGGTTTAGCATTACATAATGTAATGGAGGCTAGAATTCTTGTCGTAAATCAGGAATGGTCATAAGCCAAGGCACCCACATGGCTAACCCCATTTGCAACTTGTTTTGGCTACAGTCGTAAAATGAATGCATGGTTGCAAAGCAAACCAAGCAGCTGTAAAGCGAATCCATTCATTATAAGTGGGTGGGGTTGCTGTTGTTGTTTTTTTAAAATCTGAAATCAAATGAAAACGCCAGAAACTGGCAAATAATAATAATAATAAATCACTGTAATGTTACTAAGGAATGATGATAAAACTGAGCTGGTTGCCCAGAGCCCAAAATTCGGTCATCTGAGCAAGGGTGTGTGTGTGTGTGTGTGTGTGTGTGTGTGTGTGTGTCAATCATAACTCCAGACTGCATCACAAATCCCTTTTGGGGGAGGGTTGTTGTAACTTTGAACATTCACTGAGAAAAATAGTTGTTAAGCAAGGACGATCTATGATTTATAAATAAGTCAAGGTGACAGGCATATCGCTTTCCCTCCTCCTATTTTCTGTGCAGCAACAATCCTGTGAGGTAGGTTGGCTTGAGCGGGAATGACTGGCTTATGGTCACCCAGCTGGCTTTCATGCCTAAGGCGGGACTAGAACTCACCGCCTCCTGGTGATTGGCCCAAAGTCACCCAGTTGGCTTTCATGCCTGAGGCGGGACTAGAACTCACTGTCTCCTGGAGATTGGCCCAGAGTCACTCAACTGGCTTTCATGTCTAAGGCGGGACTAGAACTCATTGTCTCCTGGTGATTGGCCCAAAGTCATCCAGCTGCCTTTCATGCCTAAGGTGGGACTAGAACTCACCGCCTCCTGGTGATTGGCCCAGAGTCACCTAGCTGGCTGTCATGCCTAAGGCGGGACTAGAACTCACTTTTTCCTGGCTTTACACCAGACAGGCTCAGATAGGTAGCAAAATAAAAGGATTAAGCCCTAAATGACAGCCAAGAATGCCAGGGAATTAGAATGTATTAAATAAAACAGTGCAATGCAGCGCAGTTTGCCTGTTAGATTTATTGGGCTGCTTTTCCTCCAAGAGTTGCAGCTGGCACACTAATGATTTCTCCTCCTATTTTTCCTCACAAAAACCCTGTGAGGCTGACATTCTTTCCATTGGTAATCCAGCAACTTTACCACGAATTAAAAGTAATAAAATGTAATAAAATGGCAGGAGCATCCAATGATGCATAACCTAATACATAGACACACACACACACACACACACAAACAAACATTTATCCTATTTGTTAAATTTATTTGCTGCCTATCTCGCCATGGGGCTACTGTGAACTACAATAGGCATATAGAGTAATACATATACATGCACATATTTTAAGAGTGTTCCAATACAATAAATAGTTATGAAATACTAAAGAAAAATGTAAGACAAACAAAGAAGTCAGGAAATTGGAAAGAAGTGGAAAAAGAAGGAAAGCACAAAATTATGGCGTTCTCTGCCAAATAAAGGAATAACAAAACCGTCGACATCTAATTTTTTCCATTTCTCCCAGAACCCTTTTTTAAATCCTCAAATCCATAAATCACCAATTTAATCTTTTTCTTCAACAAAAAAGTCCATCTGAGAAGGTTTCTATAGCCTTTTTTTCCCCCTCTTTAAAGTCTTTTTCTCTCCAACTGAGAAATTGTTTCGAGTGGTACTTAAAGAACGATGTTTGTGGAACAGGATGAATTAGTTTTTAATGGCTTTTCCTGATCTGAACCACATTCGCCAATCTTATTTTGATTTGAAAATTAAGGAAGGGCAGGCTCATTAGGACTTTGGGGGGTGGGTGGGTGGGAGGGGGGAGATTTCCCCATTGGCTCACGATGTAGGTTAGCAAGAGGCTGGGCTGTGTGTTTGTGCCGTTGCGAATGCCGTCTCTAGGAACCAAATTGCTTATTTGCTTTTAAAAAGTTAGGCAAGTTTTGGCTTCAACAGAAAAAAAAACACACACAAGTTGCAATGCAAAGACACAAGTGGTCCTCAAATATCACAATTGCACTGGACTCATTTGTCAATGGCTAGCCAATAAAAACAGAAGTTAGAAATATGGAAATATAAGAGAAGGATTAATTTTATAAGGAAGGTCTATTAAAATGGATAAGCAAATATTGTTGTTGTTATTATTGTTATTGTTATTATTATTAATAACAATAATATAATATAATATTATTATTATAATACACACTTTATTTAGAAATGGAATTTTTTAAAATGTAAGAAAACTTTTTAAAACTGTAAAAAAAATATACAATCGCACCGGAGCCCAAAATTTCTCATTTGTCTAAGCAAGGCAGTTGTTTAAGTGAGTTTTGCCAAGTGAATCCATCCAGTTGTTAAATTAGCAATATGGTTGTTAAGTGAATCCGGCTTTGCTAGTCACAAAAAGGATTCACACATGACCCCTGGGACATAGCAACCGTCATAAATATGAACCAGTTGCAAAGCATATGAATTTTGATCACATGACCAAGGGGACGCTGCCACAGTCGTAAGTGTGAAAAATAGACGTAAGTCACTTTTTTTCCAGGGACATTGTAACTTTGAACGGGCACTAAATGAACTGCTGCAAACAGAGGACTAGATGTAATTTAATAGCAATCATCTCATTTCTGAACAGTGTTGAAAAACTAAGAACAAAACCATAGCAATTCTCATTAAATACGTTTCACAGGTAGTTCTCGACTTAGGACCAGTTGCTTAGCAGCCGCTGTACCTCTAGTGTACTATTGGTTTGCTTAACAACCATGGCCGCCTATTAATGCAAAAAGATTGTAAAAATCAGGTTGGTCCCAAGGATGACCCGATTTAGACATGTATCCAAAGCCATAACTGTCATACGTTACAACCATGCCTAAGGCGGGACTAGAACTCCCCGTCTCCTGGTGATTGGCCCAATGTCACCCAGCCGGCTTTCATGCATAAGGCGGGACTAGCACTCCCAGTCTCCTGGTGACTGGACCAAAGTCTCCAGCCAGCTTTCATGTCAGAGGTGGGACTAGAACTCACCGTCTCCTGGGGATTGGCCCAAAGTCACCCAGCTGGCTTTCATGTCTAAGGCAAAACTAGAACTTCCAGTCTCCTGGTGACTGGTCCAAAGTCACCCAGATAGCTTTTATGCCTAAGGCTGGCTAGGATTCACCATCTCCTGGATGCCTTAACCATTAGACCCAATTGCCTCTCTAAATATCCAAAACGTCTAAAAAATATCCCAGAAACCATGAACAACCAATGCACACATTTTTTTTGTCCAACCACAAATGCTCGGGGAAGTCCCTATTTTACTCATGGCTCCGTATTTTCTTGTTCCACCTTCCCCTTGTCCTGCTGTTCAGTTTGAGGCTGGTCCACATGGCTGCATTCTTCTGACTTTGTCAGTGATATTGTCAAGATCCATCGATCGGTGAGTATACGTTTGCATTTCGTTTGGAGAGTTGTAATTAGCATTTAAGCCCCTGGTATATATTTGAAAGGCAGACATGGAGGAGTGCAAAGCTTCAAAGAATGTTTCTGCTTACGATAGGCGGAATTATTTAGCTTTCTCAGAAAAATGTCCAGGGCTGATTCTTCGCCCTAAACACGTATGCATTCATAACTACCGCGTCCATCCAAATGAATGGATCCCCGGCAAAAATTTCTGTGTTGTGAAGCATGGGATTATACAGTACACAAAAAAGGTACACATATAGATTGGGTGAAACCAGGCTCAATAGCAGGAACTGTGAGAGGGATCTTGGAGTCTTATTGGACAACCAGCTAAATAGGAGCCAGCAGTGTGCAGCAGCCGCCAAAAAAGCCAATGCAATCCTAAATTGTATTAACAGAGGGATACAATTGAGATCAAGGGAGGTACTAATACCACTCTATAAAACCTTAGTAAGTAACCACACCTAGGGTCCTGCACAGGGGTGGGATTCAATTTTTTTTAACAACCAGTTCTGTGGGCGTGGCTTGGTGGTCATGTTATTGGCTGGGTGTGGCCAACTCAATATCACTCACATCGAGACTCCCATCTCCTCGCCTGGCCTCTCATGACTGGGGGGATGCTGCAACAGTTGTAAGTGTGAAAAATGGTCATAAGTCACTTTTTTCAGTGCCATTGTAACTTTGAAGGGTCACTCCACACAAGCAAAGTACCAGCAAAGGAGGAAAAAAACTCCAGAGAAGTTCCTGAGACAGGAAGTCTAGTCCTGCCAAGAATGTAATAAGGGTTAACGGAGAGGCAGTTTCTGTAAGCAACACCAGAATGTTTCCTTCCTGCCTTCCTTACAGGATTAGGCCAGGAATTTATTCTAACAACCGGTTCTCCGAACTGCTTAGAATGTTAACAACCGGTTCTAGCGAATAAGTGCGAACCTGTAGAATTCCACCCCTGGTCCTGCATCCAGTTTTGGCCCCCACACTATAAAAAAGATGTGGAGGCTCCAGAAAGAGTGCAGAGAAGAACAACCAGGATGATTTAGGGGACTGGAGACTAAAACATATGAAGAACGGTTACAGGAACTGGGCCTGGCTGGTCTAGGGAAAAGAAGGATCATGGGAGACAGGAGTGCAGTTTTCCAATATTTGAGGGGCTGCCACAGAGAGGAGGAAGGGGCCAAGCTATTTTTTAAAGCACCCAAAGGCCAGACAAGGAATCATGGATTGAAACTGATTCAAGGAGAGATTCAACTTGAAGATAAGGAGAAACTTTCTGACAGTGAGAACAATCAATCCATGGAACAGAAGTTGCCTTCAGAAGTTGTGGGAAGGTCATCACTTGAGACTTTCAAGAAGAGACTGGACTGCCATCTGTCAGAAACGGTGTCGGGTTTCCTGCTTGGGTGGGGGGGTGGACTAGATGACCTACAAGGTCCCTTCCAACTTGATTATCTGTTATCTGTTATCATTCTGGAACCCAAATGACAAGAAGTTTTAACCTATTTTGTACTGTAGGCATGTTGTATCTTGGTGGGTTTTTGCTTTGGTAGCAAAGACACTGTGTGATATCAGTTTGTTTTTCTCAACTTTGGCAAGTTTAGGCATGGCTGGCTGGGGAATTCTGGGAGTTGAAGTCCACACATCTTAAATTTGTCAAGGTTAAAAAAAAAACATAGTCTGTCATCCTAATTCCAGGGCTGCCGAGTGCCAAGGCGTACTTGAAGCCATGTTGACATCCTGGTGCGAGGAACATTATGCAGATGGCATCTTGGCAAACTTTGAGAAACCGTTTCAGCTTCTTCTGGTACCTGATTCTGGAGCATGTAAGCTCCGAGACATCAAGCAAAAATCCATGTAACTGTAGGATCAGCCAAGCTTAAAGCTTGAAGGACATTTCATGGGCTGTTTTGACGGTAGTCCTTCCCCAGATCTGGGTCCCACATTTTACAACCCTTCTTGCCACAGTTAACAGATAATCAGAATTGGAAGGGGCCTTGTAGGTCATCTAGTCCAACCCCCACCCAAGCAGGAGACCCTATACCATTTCTGACAGATGGCAGTCCAGTCTCTTCTTGAAGGTCTCAAGTGATGACGCTCCCACAACTTCCGAAGGCAACTTCTGTTCCATTGGTTGTAATGGTTACTAAATGAACTGTTGTAAGTCAAGGATTACTTTTACCCTTGCTTTACTGGAATCATGACTAAAGGGACTTAGGAACTGTATGCCAAGTGGATTTTTATCTTTTTTTTTTTTTAAGAGCAGCAAATTAAAAAAAATCTGAACCTCTTAGCTCAAGAGCTGAAGTCCTCAATAAGAGGAAACAAACAGCGGAACTAATTTGGTCCCATTCTTATCTTCTGTTTATGTTGAGCAGTTTCTAAATGAATGCCTGCCTTACCGCTCAGGAGGAGGAAAGAAACGTAAGCAGGCAAGGGAGAATTCGCTGTTCTTCCTTAAAGTCTTTACGCTCCAAATGTCAGGCTAACCTAACCTTTCCTGTCCGTCAAAAGGGCCAGAGGATGAACTCCATCGTCTGTTCTGGGTGGGAAAAATATTCCCGGAGGGCAGGTTGGGAAACAGCTTATCCCGGAGAAGGTCCCTGGGTGCAATTGCCAAAAATCAATGCCAGACCGATGGCAGATTCGCCAAGCCAGTTGTGAGGAGGCTCAGAATATGTGGAGGAGCCACACTGTACCAGGGAACCCTTGACTTACAACAGTTCGTTTGGTGACCAAAGTTACAACAGCGCTGCAAAAAGTGACTTATGGCCATTTTTCACATGTACATCCCCCCCCCCCATGGTCACGTGTTCAAAATTCAGACACTTGGCAATTGATTCATACTTATGACGGTCACAATGACCCGGGGGCACGTAATTCCCCTCTTCACAACCTTCTCACAGGTGAAGTCCAAGGGGAAGCCAGATTCACTGAACAAGCAAATCAGTAACTTACCAACTGCAGTGATTCACTTAGCAACTGTGGCAAGAAAGGTCGTAAGATGGGACAAAGCTCACTTAACAAATGTCACACTTAACAACAGAAGTTTTAGCCCAGTTGTGGTCTCAGGCCAAGGACTACCTGTCAAGGAACGGCTGGCTACCTGTAATTCCTCCTCCAAGGTTTGCTTGTAACTCTTTCCTGAGTAGGTATTTTGAAATTACCTTGGAATGGAAAGAGCTGCGGGTGGCCCTTGAGTAAGGGATATTCATTCACCTACAGATGCTTTTCCAAAAGGAAAAAAGGGGAAAAAGCTGGACTTTCTTGGGTTTTTTTTTTCCTTTGAAAATATTTTGCTTCTCATCCAAGCAGCTTCTTCAATTCTAACTGAAGAGCTTGAGAACCGAAAAACTGAGTTTAGAACTGAAGAACCTTCCTGGATGAGAAGCAAAACATTTTCAAAGAAGAAAAAAAACCCAAGAAAGTCCAGTTGCTTTTTGGAAAATCACCTTTTCAGAAAACAATGATCTGTATGATTAACTCCACAGACATTCCACCATTCGTTCAATGACAATGGGACTGAATGAAGGGTTTCTCGACAAGGGACATCTTGGCTAAGGAATTCTGGGAGTTGAAACCCACAATCCTGAAACTTGCCCAGTTAGGAAAGACTGAACCACCTTCTCAAACATTCTGTTCCCTGTCCAACGGGGAACACCACTAGCTAGTTGCACCTTGGTGTAGGATCCTAACTCTAACCTCCCAGGAGCCACCCAAATCATTTCTGGAATAAAAGTGCTCAGTATAACAAGGAAAGTGACAATAATTTTACCTAGGAAATTGTCTGCCAGCAACCTCGGTGAAAGTGGTTCCCACGTGAATTGACCTATGTTTTAAATAAAGATATAGATCTCAGTTCAGGGTCCCAAAAACTCTTGAAGTTTCTAAACTTGTGCTTTGGTGGTTTTTTTTTTAAATAGTTGAAGGAAACAATGTGGTTTTTTTAAAAAAAAAAATTAAAAGCCCCATCCTTTTTTTAAATTATTTTTTTGGGGGAAAGGGGAAAAAACAATAGTGCTGAAAAAACAGCCTAGAGTCTAGGGAACGTCGAAGGTCAGAAAGGAGGCTGTTTGTACCATTAAAGCCAATTTATTCTAATCTGTGGAAAAAGCGACTCAGCCTAATCAACCTTGTTACCTTGAGATTACGAGCTCAAGATGCCACGTCTTTCCTTTACCTCTAAGTAAATGGCTCGTTTTGACAGACTTGAACGTGGAGCCCTGTCCAACAAAATGCAATTCAGTGGTTAGACAAAAAAGTAAGTTCCTACACATAGCCAAGAAAAACCAAATTTATTGAATAGGTGGTACCTGGCTCAACAGTAGTACCTGTGAGAGTGGTGGAATTCAAATTTTTTTTACTACTGGTTCTGTGGGCATGGGGTGGCTTGGTGGGCGTGGCAGTGGAAAGTTACTGCAAAACCCCTATTCCCTCCCCACACACCCCTAACCTGCTTTCCAGCTCCATTTTCCTGTGCAGGGCAAAGAAAGGAGACCCAGCCAATCAGCTGGGACTCAATGGGAGGCAGAGAAGAGATGGGGCGGGGCCAGTCAGAGGTGTCATTGGCCGGTTCTCCAGAACTGGTCAGAACCTGCTGAATACCCACCTCTGATCCTGATGTCTTAGCGTATGACATAAGTATGAGCCAGCTGTGTGCTGCAGCTGCGGAAAAAGCCAATGCCGTCCTAGGCTGCATCAACAGAAGGGATAGCATCAAGATCACAATAAGTTGTAGTATTGCTTTAAGTTGCACTAATGTATGGCTGTGAAAGTTGAACCATAAGGAAGGCTGAGCGCCAAAGAATGGAGGCCTTTGAACTCTGGTGCTGGAAAAGACTCCTCCAAGTCCCTTGGACTGCAAAGAGATCCAACCGGTCAGTCCGAGAGGAGATCAGCCCTGACTGCTCTTTAGAAGCCCAGATCCTGAAGCTGAAACTCAAAGACTTTGGCCACCTAATAAGAAGGAAGGACTCCCTGGAGAAG